ACCCACCCGGGAGCGTGCCCCAGGGCCCTCAGAAAGCTCTGGAAGGGCAGCCACCCAGCGATCGCCCTGCTGTGCCTCCCTGGTGGCATTGCCTGGAGAAATGGGGGTCTGTCACCCAATGCCCCCACCACCAGGCTCCCCAGGGACTGCAGCGCATTCCAATCACGTTTGAATGGAGCCCAGCGTGTTATAAAACGGCTTCCTGGCGCCCTGGAAGGAGCACCCGAAGAGAGAGCAGAGCGAAGGCAGCTTTCAGGAAAGTCTCACCCACCCACCCCTCTGCTGCTCGGCCTGCTGGGGAGAAGAAGGTCCCAGGAGGCCTGCGAGGCCCCGTGGGAGGGGGCACAGGAGACAGCTCCTCCCGCTGAACTCGGCTGCCCCCACGTTCTGCCACTCAAGTCCCAGGTGACACTGTGTAGGTGGAACCGGAGGGGGGTTCCTGTTTTTTTGCCTACAACTCTGAATGCCTTGAGGCACGGAGAGAATTTTTGCTGCCTTGGAGAAAAGCCTGTCGATGCATAGAAAAGAGGATAATAAAGGTATCATCCCAAAACCTGGCAAAGATTAACACACAAAAAGGAAACCACAGACCAATATCTCTGATGAGTGCAGATGCAAAAACCCCAAACTAAATACAAGCAAAGGAAATACAAGATAATACATTAAAAAAGGTGATATACATCAGGATCAAGTGGGGTTCATTCCAGAGGCACCAGGATGGTTTGACATTTGCAAATTGATCAATGTACAATAATACATCATATTAACAAAATTTTAAAAAATCACATGATCTTATCAATGAAACTTAAAAAAAAAACATTTGATGAAACAGCATCCATTCATGATAAAACTCTCAATAAAATGGATATACACTGAGTGGCCAGATTATGATGATCTCTGAATGCATAATAATCTGGTCACTCAGTGTGTGTGTGTGTGTGTGTGTGTGTGTGTGTGTGTGTATTAGAGGCACGGTGCATGAATTTGGGCATGGGTGGGGTCTGGCCAGGAGGAGGGGACATGGGCAGTTGGCTAGCCTGCCTGCTGGTCGAACTCCTGGCCAAGGGGACAATTTGCATATTAGCCTTTTATTATATAGGATATACACTGAGTGGCCAGATTATCATGTGTTCAGAGATCATAATCATCGGGCCACTCGGTGTAGAAGGAAAGTACCTCCACATATAAAGGCCACACACAGATGGCAGACCCTCAGCTCACATCACACTCAGTGGTGTGACACTGGCAGCTTTCCCTCTCAGATCAGGAACGAGAAGAATGCCCTCTCAGCACCCTTAGTCCCCACGGTGCTGGAGGCTCTGACCTGAGCAATCAGGCAAAGAAACAAAAGGCACTAAATTGGGAGTGAAGAAGTGAAAGTGTCACTTTTTGCAGATGACACGATTCTGTACATAGAAAACCCTAAAGACTCGCCAACTTTGGCCAAAGCCCTGAGCTCAGCAAGGCCTGTGGGTTGGCGTCTCTGCAGACAGGACTCCTTCCCCACCCCACCCCCGCCTGCCTCCAGACCTGGCCACGATCCCACACATGTGCAAGAGTTGGGAGCACCAAAGGCCACATGCTTGTCAGGAAAAAAAACCCAGGTTTCTGATGGGAGGACAAAGGCTCAAGACTGGTCGCTGAAACCTGCCCCAGGTCACACAGGGCTCGGACCCTCAAGGTCAAACTGCTATGGCCCTTCTTCTGACACAGACCAGGCCCCGGACTTCCGGTGAGCATGAAGGACGGACCGAGACTTGAGCCCAGTGTTGGGAGCCTGCAGAGTTGAGGCAAGCAACTCAGTCTTAAGGAAATAGAATTAAGTTCCTTCTAGCAGAAGTTATGCGGTGCCCTGAGGGCTTGGCCAGAAGATAAGATTAACCTGGGGCTTAGCATCTCCTGTCTTCGTGCCTCTTCCCCTTCCTGATCCTCCCCCCTAGATAGCCCAGCCTTGGAATGTTGCACCTTGGAATGTCACACCGCCTCTGGCAATTAGTCAATCCTGTGTTGCCATACCAAAGACCCCCCTACATAGGCAACCCTGCCCCCCTTTGTCTCTGCTGTATAAATACAGCCATTTCAGAGAATAAAACTGAGGCTTGATCAGAACCTTGTCTTGCCTTCATTCTTTCACGTTCCTTGTTTGTTTCATTCTCTTAGGTGGTTCCTGCGTGCCCCCGTTGTTGTCCCGCGGGTCGGGACAGCCCAGGGTGAGAATCGCGATTTAAGTTGTCCACCTCTAAGAGGCCACGGCCCAGTGCCCGCATCTTCAGGCTTGTTCCTTCCGACCCAGGGGCTCCCCTCACAGGACCCCGGTGGAGAGGAGGAAAAGGTACCCCTGAGGGGCTGTGGCCACGGAAAGTGTATTGGGGCATGACCGGCGTGGCTCCGTGGTTGAGCATTGACCTATGAACCAGGAGGTCACGCACAGTTCGATTCCTGGTCAAGGGCACTTGCTTGGGTTGCGGGCTCAATCCCCAGTGTGGGATGTGCCGATCCATGATTCTCTCTCATCATTGATGTTTCTATCCCTCTCTCCCTCTCCCTTCCTCTCTGAAATCAATAAAAGAAATATTTTAAAAATGAAGTGTATTGGAAAGGAGGAGAAAGGGCTCTTGGGGTGAAGCCAGGAGACCATCCCAGGGGAGCCCCAACGCCTTTGGGTGTGACTTCTTTTTTAAAAATAAATATATTTTATTGATTTTTTTACAGAGAGGAAGAGGGGAAGAGAGAGTTAGAAACATTGATGAGAGAGAAATATCGACCAGCTGCCTCCTGCACACCCCCTATTGGGGATATGCCCGAAACCAAGGTATATGCCCTTGACCAGAATTGAACCTGGGACCTTTCATTCCACAGGCCGAAGCTCTATCCACTGAGCCAAACCTGTCAGGGCTGGGTGTGACTTCTTTGTGGCCCCACCTCCAACATGTGGCCCTTCCTCCCCTCCCTGCAGCCCCTCATCTAACACCCCCCTCCTCCTCCAGGCATTACGCACCAGGTTCGAACCTGCTATGGATGGCTTTGGCACCCAGTAGGCTTTGGCTCCCTCTCCCCTTGATTCCACTCGAGACCCACCGAGTCAACCTTGCTGAACCCAAGGAAGCTGCCCTGGAACCCCCAAGCCTGGGCCTGGTGGTGTGTGTGTCCTCTCTTCCCCACCCGGGCATGCTGGGAGACCCACCTGGCAATCGCCATGGGTCGTGGACCTGGTCACTGCACAACTGCCTGGGCGCCTGCCCAGCCAGACCCTTCCCTTGCACCATCCAACGGCACTCGGTTCAGACAGGAAGTTCCCGGGATGGTGTTTCCGGCCTCAGAAGCTCGCGGGCACCCACGTCTCCCTAACCCTCAGGTAGAGTCTCTGAGGCTCCGCCTGGATGCCTTCCCTCCAGGCTTCCCCAGGCAGGGGAGCACATGTTCCAAGGCCAGGGACCAAGTGGTGATGCTGCCATCTCTTGCTCCTCCCCCCGCCCCCCCCCCCCCAAAAAAAAAGCCTTAAGTCTTGACTTCCCCACGGGGATGAACCCGCATTTCTGAATTGGACCAACCTGAAGACGATGCTTGTTTTTTTTCTGAACGGAGAGTCTCAGCCCTGAAGAGAAATGATCTGCTTTGACCACAGGGAGGAAGCCAGGCAAATGTGTCAGGAGCCAACTACATGGTTCATGTACTTTGCCCCACTACTTGGTCTCATCTCTGGGAATGTGTCTTAAGGTAAAAAAAAAAAAAAAAAAAAAAAATATATATATATATATATATATATATATATATAGAGAGAGAGAGAGAGAGAGAGAGAGAGAGAGAGAGAGAGAGAAACGCTAACACAAAGATATTTATTGCAGCTCTATTTATAGCTAAAATAAAATGCATATATATATATATATATAAACAAGCATCCCACAAGGAAATGCTATGCAGACATTAAAAAAAAAAATTCTACATCAACACTGAAAAATATTAAGGAAAAAGTCGGATGGAAGTTGAATGTACATTTACAGTTTTGTCAAGAAAAATGCCCACGAAAAAAGCCTGTTATTTTTTTTTTCCTCCTCAAAATTCCCCCTTTGAATGTCTTTCAAAGCGGCCAGCAATGGGGTGCAGCCCTAAACCTCCCCCCAATCTAACAGAGTGAAGAAACCTCGAATAACCCTCCTCCGTTTGGGGAAGACACGACGGGCCGACCCCGCTTGGCTCTTAGGGACAGACACACAGCACAGACGCCCGGGGGCTCGGAGGGGAGACGTGGTGGGAAGGGCCCCACGTTGACAAGCATTCTCACTCCTCTCTGGGACGCTGGGGACAGGGAGCTCGTGACTGGCAGGCAGCGTCGTGAGGATGAAGGAGACATGGTGTATGGACTGGCTCTTGAAACCGTAAGTACCCAGGCAGGGAGGGGAACCCAGACTTGGGGTCTTGATCAAGGCCAGCGGTACCCCCAAAGGGCTGTCCAGGGCTCCATGCCCTCGGGGCAGCCCCCTTGGCCAGGGGTGAGAAAGAACCTTCCTGATGCCGGGCGGAATGAGCCCATTTCTGCAGACCTGCGGCCTCATGCACCTCCCCGGATAATCCCCGCCCTCCTGCAGGCCGGGCAGTGTCTGCAGACACCTCTCGGTTCTTCCTTCAGGCCAAATGCCTCAGATTCGGGGTCCCTTGCACAGCCCAGACTGCCCACCGCCGGCTGCTCTCCGCCTGGACACCCTCGTGTGTTGGGAAAACCAAAAGCCCCCTGGCTCCTTTGGCCAAGGCCGGGGCACGGAGCCCCCTCTCTGGTCTGAAAACTGGCAGCCAACGTGTCTCCCTAGAACCTCTCTCTGAGCTTCGAGCCAGCCACGCTGTCCTTTCCCCCACCCCGTTCCCGGTCCCCACTGAAGGCCGGGCAGGTGGTGTTTTGAGAGGACCTGCCCGGCCCGGCCCCAGAGCCGGAGGTTACCCCTCTGGAGGAGGCTGCGAGCAGCCACGTCAGGGGGGAAGGAGGCGCGAGACAAAAGGACATTATTGCGGTGCTTTTTTCCGTTTTTTTTTTTTCTTTTTGCACAAAAACAGTCCATTTATTCAAGTGTTCTCCAGCACAAGTACATTAGAAAGGAGCTTTATTATATTCTTCTGGGCACAAAAAAAAAAAAAAAAAAAAGAGAGAGAGAGAGAGAGAGAGAAAATAGTGATGAAGGCGGAACTGACAGACGTTCTACATCGGCTGTACGCATTGACCTCTTTAATTATTTCATAAACAGCTATGTCACGAGCATCACACACAGATACAAACGGGACCCGGGCGGCCGGGCCGGGGACCGCTCGGGGCCCCTCGCACACGCCCCACCCGACGTCCCAGAACCAGACTGTGAAATGTACATTATTATTGTCAATAAATAGAGAAGCAACCCTAAAAAAAAAATAATACAGTGGTGAAAGGATGCTGGAACCAGGAGGAAAACAATGCAAGGAAAAGAGAGGAACTGAAGAGAAAGGGCAGGCGGGGGCTGGGGAGGGCAGGGGAGGGGAGGGAGGGGAGGAAGTCCTGCATTGAGCTGCGTGGAATGTGGAGTGACAGGGCTCTGCCGACGGGGCCAAAAGCGAAAATCGTCTGTAACAGGGGGAACGTTATTACCAAATCAGCTACGGAGTTTAATTCTTCAGTATGAATACATGATTTCCCACAAATAAGTAAGCACCCGCTACTTCAATGCCTCAGCTAAAACACATGAAATCGCTCATTTAGTTTTCAAGTACAAAGTTAAAATGCCTTTTTAATAATAATATATCAGAGTAAAATAATAGTCTCTTTCAAACTTCACTACAAGAAAACAAAACAAACAGTCATTGTCCAGACAGCAGACTTAATTTAACAATATATATTTTTAATAAAATGTTTTTTTGTTTTGTTTTTTTTTTTAGCACCTTGTTGAGTCACCTCCTCCCTCTGCGTATTCTAAGGAATTTCGGCATTTTCTGTTTTGTTTTGTTTTTTTTGTTGGGGGCGGTGGGTTGATTGTTGGGTTCTCAGGGCTGTGCGACCGAATCAGTCTGTGGAGTGACATGGGACCAAGGTGAGGCTTTGGATCCCTGCTCATCCCTCAGGCTCGGGGCGGGAGGCCGACGGACGGGGTTTGAGAAAGCTGCCCACGCGGGAGGTTTCCAGTTTCAGGAGTCCTCGGGCCTCCGATCACAACCAAAGAGGGGCCTTCCAACCCTGTCCTCGCTGCGAAAGACCTGGTGTGTGTCCTCCCCCAAACTCCACTGCCTGGGGCCAGCCGTGAGCAGGAGGCTGCAGACCCCAGGCCGCCTGAGCTGTCTGCCCTGCTCCCCAGGGACCCGCCTTCCTTCACCGAGATGGAAAGGCTGGAGAGCTTCTGCCAGACAGGGGAGTCCATCCCCGTGTACCCCTCCCCCCCCAGATCCTCCCCCTGGCCCACGGTCCCTGCCTCAGCGGCAGGGCCAGCCCTCCACACGCCCCTTCCCCTCCTGGGCGGGAGGAGGGGCTCCAGGGTCCGAGCGGCCAGACTGGACCACAGATGTCAAGTTCAGACCCAAACGGGGCCCGGCTAGAAACTCCGTTCTCACCAAAACATTGGCCCTGCTGCTCCTGGCAAAGGAACCAGGAGTTCCTCAGGCCTCCGTGCCAGCCAGGCCCCAGGGCCCTCGCCCGCAGCTCCCGGGGGCTCCTGCACGTCCCCCGAAACGACGCCTCTGAGAGATAACGGGGCCACCGCGCCTCTGCACCACCAGGCAGGGGGGTGACGGGAGCTCACCACCACCTCCAGGACCCACTCCGCGTCTCCTTCTCCTGTCACGGCCGGGAGGGCGCCCGGCTCGGTTTTCCAATGTCCTCCCCCAGCCGGCCGGGCCCAACCGACCTTCCTGCTCCTGCCCCAGACCTCCCCGGGGGGGGAGATGGCGCCCCCGGAATGGCCAGCTCAGCGGGAAGCGCAGGGAGGGGGCCAGCCCTCCGTGAGACCGCTCCCATGTCCGACAGTCTTCCCCCTGCTCTGCCTGCCCTGACCGGCACCTCAGCGGCCCACCAGACAGCACACGGGCCTCGCCAACAGCCAACCACGCCCAGGCCTGTCCCCGGAGCCCGGGACCCTGGATGGTCTCCTGCGAACTCTGCTAACGGGATGTCCGACAGCAAGAAGGTTCTGGGGTCTGAACGGGAATCGGGGAGCAACACACCAATGGCACCTGCCAACTGCAAATCCTCACCCACTGCTCCCGCCAGCCGGTTCCGGGGGGGAGGGACAGCACCGGCCAGCCCGAGCCCCCCGGGGCCCCACACTGCCTGCTGGAGACTGGCTTCCTCCTCCGGCCCCGGGCTAGGGCTCTGGGCCCTGGAACGAACAGGGGCAGCCTCTAAGACCGCTGTCACTCTCTAGGGCAAAGACAATGCCACGGGGCACACACTCCAGAATCTTTCCTAGGTCTCCTGCTCCACTGCCTCCACCCTCAGCCTCATGCACAGCAACTGCCACAGCCCCACTCAGCACTCGGCCGGCCCGGCCTGTGGGAGCACAGCCCCCCTTTAGAAGGGGGCCTGGGCCTCCCCACGAGTCCCCCTACGGGTGGAAGTGCAGGAAGAGCGTCCGGGCATGGCCAGTGGGCATGTCCGCAGGGTCCGCTGCACTCACCACGTTCTGCTGTGGGGCTGAGCCCACAGGCTGGCTGGTGACGAACTCGCATCCCTGCGAGGGGCACCTGGCCCGCCCCAGGGCCCCGCTGGGAGGGACAAGCGCTCTTAGGGGTCAGCACAGCGCGCCTCCCTGAGCAAGCTGGCCGGCCGCACCGGTCCTGGGGCTTGCCACGTCCTTGGCTTCCAAGCTTCCTCCCACCCCGCCCCCTCGGGTGCAGCTTGGGCCACTGGGAAAGGCGACCGCCTTCGCAGGAGCCGCGGATCTAGCCCCAGGAGCGCCCGAAAGGCTGCGAGTGTTTGCAGAGGGAGGCCTGACCCGGGGGCTGGGAAGACCTAGCGCTGGCCGGCGGGGGAGGGAGCACCTTGGGCTGCGAGACAGCCCTCCTCCCCCAGCCCTCCCCGGGGCGCTGGTGGCCTCCAGGGGCAGAGAGAGCCGGCTGGAGCGCGAGGGGACATGCAAGCACCCGTCAGGACAGGGACTCCAGAGAGGGGGGGGCAGAGGGAGCCCCTCCTGGCCACTCCAGCCCCCTGGGGGCCCACCCGCGCCACTGGCCACCGCGTCAGAGCTGGCGTCACAGAGCTGGCGGGATGCAACTGGGTATGACCTCCAAAGCCAATCTGACAAGGAAAGGAGTCGATGGGGGTCCAGAAACCACGCACCCCTCCAAGGGGGGAGGGGGGAAGCTGACTCCTGAGCCATGAGCAAGGGATCCAAAGCCTCGGTTTTAATTTTGTCACCAAATTACGGATTTGCTTAATCCAAACGTGAGGTTCACCGTCCCATTTTTTAAAAAATTTTTTATTTATTTTTTTGGAATGGAAGCCCCTTGGCCAAGACGGACCTGGAGTGAATTGCATTTTGGTGAGGGGAGAATAGGTAGGGGGAGTTGAGGGCTGACTTGACTGGTGCCTGGAGTTGCAGGTCAGTATCACAGTTGCTAACAGAAGAGTCTTTTGACATCACCAGGGGGCAAAAGAGAGAGAGAGAGAACGCTACCTGCTAGAGGAGAGCACCTGCTAAAATAAAACCTCCTCCTTTTCCTGCCTTCAGCACCGAGCAACTTCTGGGACTGACAGTCTAGCTGCGATCAGGGCAACAGAGGTAAAGAGCTGCAGGGCCGGCTCCACACAGTCCTGACTCCCGGGGGAGCGGAGGGCGCCCCCTGGCTGTGAGTGCCTCGGACAGCACTGCTCCTGTTCCTGCTCCTGTGTAATGCGTGTGGGACTGACCGGCGCGGGGCTTCCGTCTGCAGCGGGGCCTGGAGCTCAGCGTCCTGAGCCCCCCTGCCTCCCGCCCCACTCCATAATATCTCTTTTACGTGACCCTATCTATTTATATAGCGCCTATCACCGTAGGCCATTTCTTTCTAGGGATGCGAACTCGGGACCATGTGCTTGGCAGCACACCTCCCAGCCCTGCCGGTCCCAGGAGGTGCCATCCCCCCTCCCATTATAAAATATATATCTCTATATGCCACATATCTACACCCCATCTACCCAGGCGGGCATCGGCCCCTGGGCCCTCGCCCCGGAGCCGCCAACACGGGGCCGCTCGCCGCGGTGGCACCCAGTGTCGCCGCTGCCGCCGCCGGCTAAGAGCACAGCCGCCACCAGACCAAAGCACTAGAAAAGAACTACACACCACTCCAGCCACACAAGCGGGAGGGAGACACCGGCCGCCCTCCGGCCCTGACACGCGCACACACACGGCTCCAGAGGAGGGGAAGGAGAAGAGAAGAGGACGCACCGGAACGCCCGCCTGGTGGCCCACCTGGCCCGAGAGGTGGGGGCCAGGGCACCGGGGCCACCCCTCACTCAGAAGCACCCTGCTCCCCGCACCTTGGTTTGAAACCTTAAAGGGGAGGGAGGGGAGGGGGGGGTTGGGTTTTTGTGTTCTTAACGGAAAGAAGAAGGAAAAAAAAACAACACAAAAATCTGGAAAAACAAACAGAATTAGAACCAGAACCATAAGCATAAGGATTAACAGAAGGTGTCGTCAGCCTCCCAGTATAAAACTGCAGCCTTTGGAGATGACCAAAAACATCGCGTTCCAGGGCCGAGGGGCCGCCTGGTGCACAGAGGGCGGATGGTGGGGCCTCATAAAAGAACACACAAGAGGCGACTTTAGACAGGAAAGCACCAGTACGCTTTGTATGTTTTTTTATTCGCTCCAGGTGGGGCTCTGAGCGGTCACTTTCCCGCACTCTGGGCTAGCTCTGATCCCACCGTGAGGAGCCCTCGGATAACGGGAGAAACGTGGAATGAAGACCCTCCACCTCATCCTGCCATCCTGCTGAGAGGAGTCTCCCTTTTTGGAAAAATAAAAATAAAACATCGAAATCAAAAGGTGGTTATTGCGTGATCCCGGATGAATCCCGCTCTCAGCTGTCCACGGTCCTGACCACCTCGTCTCACCCCCTTTTTGGCAGGGACGCGAGGCCCCCCAAACTGTCCTTCGCCCCGTGGCACAGCCAGGGCGAGAGCCACCCTCTCTCCATCCTCGGTTAAAACCCTTTGCACATAAGGCAACATGGAAGCTGATGTTTTTACTCATCTCGCTGTTTGAAAGCACCATTATGAAGTCAGGATGTACAGTAGTTAACAGTACCTTTTATATATAGAGCTCATATCTATCATATATATATAAACTGTAAACAAGAGGTAACAGCGGCTTCTAGAAACTGGTTTTTCTTCAAGGTTTCCTGTGTGGTAGGCACCTGAAATACTGTATAAAAGGGTCTTGTGGTGTCCTCGTCTCCCTGCTGCTAGTTGGGTTCTGCTTTTCAATGACCGGGAATGGTGCTGGCAGGACAGCTCAGTGGCTGGGAGGGGTTTCGGCCTCCTGAGTGTCTCTACTTTCCGTCCCCTGCTTGTGCTCCTATCTGATCAGGCTAGAGACAACAACAAAAAGATATATAGTAAAAAAAAAAAAAAAAAAAAAAAAAAAATCCAATACCAATATATAGATTTCCATAGAATTTCCTCTTTCCCTTCTCTCTTATCTTTCCGCTCAGCAAGGTATCGCTAGTATGTTTTGTTATTATTTTTTTTGCTGCAATAAATCCTCTTGTTTCAGTCACAGCAAGAAACAAAAACCCAAACAGAAAACCCCTCTGAAAAAAAAAGAGTGGAAAACAAAAGATTTGACCGAATAAAGGAGGGGAGGGAGAAGGGGAAGAGGGAACTCGATGTTGTTTTTAAATAGGACTCAAGATTAACATTGAAAAATCAGGAGATGATGTCCAACCCTTGCCACCAGGCCAAGCCCTCGGTGTTTCTGCCTCTGGTTTTTTGTTTTAAATTCCTTTTTCTCTTCTGGGTGCTGATACTTCTCTCCATCCTCATGTTCTTTGTGTTTTGTTGTGTTTTTTTTGTTTTGTTTTGTTTCTGTTTTGTTTGTTTAACTACCTCAGTTTGCCCTCATGTCCCTTACACACAAGCAAAATATTCCTTCAGCGGAGCGAAGAGGTGGCGGATGACCGGCACGCTCCACGACCGGCCCAGCAGTCTCTGCCTCGCCAACCGGCTCATGTTGGAGACGTCGGTATAGTGGACAGGGAAGCCAAACACCCTGGGGAGAAAAGGCAGGGGGCAGGGTGAGCGCGGGCGCAATCTTCGCTCCTCTGTCACCGATTCAAGACTCGGGCGGCCCGCTGCTTTCTGTGGACCTGAAGCTAAGTGAGAGGACTGCAGCCTAGAGATTTACTACACAGTGGAAGCACCTCCAGGACAGGCAGCCCCCGAGATTTTAGATAGACGGTGGGTATCTGAGGTCTGAAAGTAATGACTATGCATCCCAAACACCTTCACCCCCCAAGAGGGAGGAGGGCTCTCGCCTGACTCCACACCCCCAGGAGTTCCCGCTTGCTCGTGGCTTGTGTTAAGTGGTCCGTGTGGCTGGCTAAGTGGCAGTGACAGTGAGAATGAAGAGGTAATCTAGTCCCCCAGTCCAGTTTGTACCAAATCAGGGGGCTCAGGCTGGAAGGCCCCCCTGGTCCTGAGCTGCCCCGAGATCAGATGCTCCTGAGCTGCCGTGTTTCCTGGAGCTCCGCAGGACCCAAGGACCCGCGCACTGACCCCTAGATGCCTCGCTGTGGGACCATCCCCAGGAATTGGCCACGTCAGGAGATGCCTGCGTACCCACTGTTCACGTGGCATCTGTGCAAGACGCCAGCCTGGCCGAGAGACAGGGACCCCTCCCGCAAGGACAGCCCGAGACCCAGCCCCGCGACCCCAGCCCGGTACCTTTCCATTTCAGTGCACCATAAGATGTCCTCTTTCTCATTCATGAAGACGGGGAAATGCTGGTCTTTGCCCTGCTTTATGGAGTTCGACCTCGTGGTAATGGTCCTCACTTTGCTGAACTAGAAGGGGAGGAAAGAGGGACGAGCGCTCACTCGCTGGTCATGCGTCTGCCACGTGCTTGCCAGGGACCGGCCATACGGGCCTCTGCAGACCCCGCCGCCTTGCTCTTCCTCCTACTCTGCAGTCGCCCACCATCCTCAGTCCAATCCTGATGGCTAAGGGACTGAGATACGGCAGCTGGAGCCGCTGTCCTTCCTAAGCCCTCCAAGAAGAGTGGCTTGCAGGCAAAAAGACGCCAAATTACTCCGGCTCAAGATATAACATTGCCGGCCTCTGCTCTCGGGAACCACTCGGGGTGATTATTACAGAGAGAAATGGGGCTTCCACATCACAGGAGAGTCTCTGCTGTGGAAACTCCCGCAATAGGTCCTGGCCCAAAAATGTACGCACCCTTGCAGAACTAGGGACCTTGGCAAAGGCTCCTTCGCGTCTGCCTCCTGTGGGGCACCAAGCAATGCTTAACAAGGGAGGGCAGAAGGCCAGCAATGACTTCAGATCTCTCTCTCTGCCTTCTAGACCTTCCTCTAGATCACATGTGTCAAACACAAGGCCCGCGGGCCAAATCCGTCCCGCCAGGCCTTGCAATGTGGCCCGCACCGCGCTGTCATCACTGCACTCCGCTGCGTTTCCATCACAATGACAGTTTATGACTGTTCAGTAAACCATTCGGCCCGCGATTTAGGCTGGATTTTGGATTTTGGCCCCTTCTCTGATTGAGTTCGACACCCCTACTCTAGATCCTCCCCTCAGGCCAACTACATGAATGACCCCGTATCACCCCTAAATCACACACCCCATGCTAGCCGCACCCAAAGCCCCAGAGGGCAGGCTCACAGCCCTGGTGGCTGCTCTACTGCATTCCGCCCTCTGCCCTTCTTCCCAGTGGCCAGCAGAGGGCTCCGAAGCGGGCTAACCTTGGCTATTCTGCCATGCTCCAGACACTCCTGCAGCTCCAGCTTATCATTCACAGTGGATGCCAACGGCCTAGGAAGCAGAAAGGAGAAGGTGACAACGCGATCCGGGAGATGGGCAGGGACATGCCCGGCAGTGCTGACCCAGCGGCCATCTGGCTCCCACAGGTGAGCAAAAGGGGGGGGTCCTGTCTCCCAGCGTGCTGTAAGCCCTTCAACCGCCTCTCCCCCCAGAAAACACACATACACGGCAGCCACCCACGGACACAAATCCACCAGGTATTAACCCTGAAAAGGTCAATTCAAAAGTGGTCTCCAGCTACAAATAAGCAGGTCACACCTGCCCAGAAAGGCAGAAACCCAAATGTTTTTATTTTTATGTCGGTCATTTTAACTGAGTTTTAAAGGTACCCAACCAAGCAAGTCTGGGGGTGACAGAATGCTGGGCACCTTGGTTATAGTGACAGTTATGACATCTCAATTATGGTGCAAACTGGATGAAATTCACTAAACTGTGCACCTTAAATGTAAATTAAAAAGACAAGCTCTGCACAGTCCCCTGAACACTTCCTGACTTCAACCTTTCAACTGCCTTCAATCATCACCAGATCACGGAACACGGCCGCCAGCACAGGCCTTTCCTGACATTTAGAAATCCTCAAGGAGGGCTTCACTGAGGTCACTATCTCCGTGTAGGAACCACGGGACCCGCATCCAACCGCGTCTCCAGGCTCCTCTCAGTTAACGCGTGCACACATACATGCACACACATGCACACGCTCACACATATGCGCGTTTCTACCTGGTCCCACCTGGTCTCCCTGCTCCTCCTGGAAGCTCCGAGTTCTAGAATTTTGGAGTTGGAAGAAGCAGATGGGAATAATCCCCTAGGATCGAGGTGTGTGGCTTCATGGAAATGCTAGACTGTACAGTCTGTCCATTTTCCCAATGCACACATCCATCTTGGGAAGTTTAGGGGGACACTCAAGAGTTTTCAGATCAGCTGCCTCCCTGGCCTATCTCCTCCTCATCCACAAACCCTTGCAAAAGACAGCAGCCTTGCTGAACAGGGATGGGACCGAGGAAGTTCCTACAACTTCATGCCAATGACAGAGAGGGTGGTTACACAGCTGAGGCCAGATCAAATGATGTTTCCAATTTTCAAATAAGTACTCTCTGGGAGGCTTAAAATCCACACTCAGAACATTCTGGAAAATACTTCCCTCTGTCATAGATGTCCGGAGTGGGTGGGCCTCATGCTGCTTTTCAAGTGCCTTCAACCAGAATTCCTCTCCTCACAGGCCATTTTTGTAGTGCAATTATTGCACAGAAGAAATGAAATTTTCTTCATTCCTGGTTATTAAAACCTATCTAGATGACCTGATGCAGCATCCTTCCAGCAAAAGACCTGAAGCCAACCGAGTGCGGACAAGTGAGGTGGGGCTTCAACCCTGCACGGAGCTGCTTCCAGATTCCCTCCCTGGACATGGTCCTTCCCATCCCCAACCCCTTTCTCCACAACCTGACCTCAGACCAAGGGCCAGCTGACTCTAAAGACATCACCACTGGAGAACCAGCACTCCACTCGGCAGCCCGCTGGTTCTCCCTGTGCAAAAGGGGGTGCACTTTCAAAGGCCCCATTTCCCACCGCTCGGCGTTGGTTTCTCAGGCAAGTACGTTCTCTCCCGACTCCCCTCCCTCCAGAGCAGGCCCGTGCGGGCCCGAGAAGCCCCCTCTCCGGGCTTTCCTGCCTGCAGACACCAACCCGCAGCCGCCCCGGGCCTGGGCGCTCTCACCAACCTGTTCATCCCAGGAAGGTTCCCCCAGAAGTAGCGGGCCCTGTGTGCAGCGGACACTTCTTTGGCATCAATCATCACAGGGTTGGACTGTGAGACAGGAGAGAGTGCACGGTGAGCGAGAGAGGACTAGGACAGTGCCGGGGATGTGTGCGAGCCTGGAAGCTCGAAGGCTTGGCCTTCTCTCTGAGGAGGCCGCACACGGGGCGGCCTGAAGCCAGCAGGAAAGCCAGAATGAGACATAGCCACGTCCCACCGGCTCTTACCGGGACCTCCGAGACCAGCACGCCCAGCAGGACATTCTGTGACGGTGACAGGGTCCTCCGTGTGCACTGCTCACCAGCAGTCCCTCCCTCCCCTCCCGCCTCGGGGGCTAAGGAGCCCCCGATGTGAGAGGAGTGTGACTGAGGGGTTTTAACGTGGCCAATGGGGCTCTGTGAGAGAAAGTTCCAGCAACGGTGCCGGGGTTTGCTGGACACCCTGACTGTGAGCCAACAGACAATTTGCAGTGACAGTTCAGCGTCCCGAGGCCGGGAGCGTGGGCTTGAGCTCCTGGGCCGCCCACCCCCGAGGCTGCCTCCGGGCTGAAGCCCTCTGTGCATGGCTCACACCGGGCTCAGTGCCGGCCGGACCCACGCTATGAAACAGGTCCTGTGTCCTTCCCAGGCGCATAGAGCGTCTGTCACGCTGCTGAGCAGCGAGGCTGAACCATCGATTTTGGCATCTCCTAGGTTTCCCCCCCGTGAAACACCACACAGAACCCACCCCGAGTGGACCCTCCCACCCTCTTTACACTCCGGTCCTTCAAGTCCTAAGCCGTACGCCTCCCCGGAGAGAGACAGACCCGGAGTTCTTTCGGGGCGGGCCTCTCACGATGCTTCCTCCCAAGCTTCCCAAACGGAAGTCCCTTCGCAAAGCACAAGTCCCCTGCCCCCGGCTGCATGATGCAGAGGAGACAGACAAAGCGGCCGCCCAGACCAAGGGTGCCGGCGATACCTCGAGAAATCGTGAGATGTCCCTCTTGTCACTAACGCCCATGGCCACCACATTCTCAAAGAGCCAGAAGAAGGGGCGGTCATCTCCCTCCTTGGGCCGCGCGTCATGCAGGAGGCGGTAGAACTCAAAGAAGAGCCGGCCAGTGCCCTCTGGGAGGCGGGAGAGAAAGCCGTCAGCGGGGCTGGCTGCAGAGACAGCGGCGTGGCTGGGGCGCGGGGTGGGGGAGGGAGGGCAGGGCCGTGGGGAGTGGCCGTCCCAGGGCAGAGATGACCGGGTAGGAAGCCCACGTGCAGAAGCGCCGGCCGGGGAGGCACCCACCGTAGAGGCCCTTGCGGGCGGGGTTGACGATGGAGAGGTCGTTGCACGGGCTGCCCCCGATCACCAGGTCGAACGGGCCCCACTCCTGGATCTGAGCGGACAAAGGGAACGGAATGGGCTGACTGCCCAGAGACGGAGGCAGAGAGGAAGAGGGAGACTGTCTGTGGACTTGACATGGGGAGAGGAGACCCTGCTTTGTACACTCACCGCCTACACACATTCACACACGTGTACCATGCACACGCACACGCACTCTGTGCAGCCCTGGGCCGGTCGCCCAGGCCCTCGGCTCCGTTTCCTCCACAAGGAAGTGAAGGGGCGGAACCGGACCACCCGAGGCCGGCAGGGTGGCCAGTGCTCCCGGCAGGGGAGGCAGCCGCCGGCGAGAAGGCCGAGCGTGGAGGCACCCTGCACTCTGCGTGCCCTTCGGGACTCCCGCGCGCCCACAGCCTCAGGGGCAGACACAGACACCAGAGGGGCAGAGGGGGACTCAGTCAGGACCCCTCGGACACCCTGAGGACCGGAGGCTGGCAAAGCTGCCGCCCGAAGGGTGAGGACTGGCACCTCACCCCCATCCTGAGCGCTCACCTAAAAAGGGAGCCAGAGAGCAGCCTGAGCCCCAAGTTCCCATCTCACTCTGCCCACCAGCCTCGAGACAGGGAGGAAACGGAAGAGGGACAGGGAGAGAGGCTGGGGGAGACATGGAGAGGAAAATAAACGAACGAACAGAACGAAAGGGGGCTGGTGCTGAGTGTGAGATGCAGAGAAGGTGGGACGGGATGGGACCCCAGCACGGACTGACATACATGCTTCTGCGTGACGCTGCGGACGTCCCCGACGTACATGATCTTCCCCTGGTGCCGCACCATGCCCACCGTGATGGAGTCCTCGCACACCTCCGAGGCGATGTAGCGGTCCACCTGGATGCCCAGGTCCTTCAGCACCAGGAGCCCTGCGCCGGCCAGGGAAGAGCTCGGTCACCGGCCGCCTCTGGCAGCAGGGCTGTGCCGGGAGCCCTCTGCCAGCCCTCGGGGCACACGGTCAGCGATGGCCTGAGCCCTGCCCTGCCCAGGAAGCTGCCTGAAATCCCCCGAACCAACTGGACATCCACGGCAAAGACACCAAGGCTGCTTCACGTCTAGCTCGATCTCCTTCAAAGGCAGTCAAGGCCAAGGCCAGGACAGACCACCCGGACAGGAGGCGGCTTCAGGATCCGGGGAGAACAGCAGCCGAGTTGCGGTGGCCTCCTCTTCGCTGCTTCTCCATCTTTCACACACTGGTCCCTCCTTATCGCTCCTTTCCCCAAAACAGCACATCCTGCTTCAACTCCCCCCGTCCTTCAAAACCCAACGTGAGTGCTACCTGCTCTAAAAATGGTTTACCAACGCCCTCCCCTCCTCTGTAAGCCCCCAGCACTCTGCGTCCCTCTCCACCTCCTTGGAGCAGTGAGTATTCCTAACTCAGCTTTCCTCTTGGGCTACAAGAGTCTTTAAAAAGACAGAGTAAGAGTATGAGGTCTGCCGAAACCGGTGTGGCTCAGTGGATAGATCATCAACTGGACTGAAAGGTCCCGGGTTTGATTCCGGTCAAGGGCATGTACCTGGTTGCGGGCACATCCCCAGTAGGAGGTGTGCGGGAGGCAGCTGATAGATGTTTCTAACTCTCCCTCTACCTTCCTCTCTGTAAAGAAAATCAATAAAATATATTTTTTTTAAAAAAAGAGTATGAGGTCTCATCCAAGCGTTTCCTCCTGAACTCACTACAGGTACATCCTTACCACCCCCGCTCCCCCTGGTGTTGCTAAATTAAGCCAAGGAAACAATGAGAACAGACCCCGCAGCTCCAGGAGAAAGGGGCTACTGTGCGGCCCTTCCTTCCCCGAGGAGCTCGGACAGCCGCTTGAGGTGCCACAGGGTCTGAGGCGGCCTCGGGGGTCCAGCCTGCAAAGCCACAGATGCGCATGAGCCTCCGTAGGTTCACAGAACATCGGCACCGAGATGAGAACGTCAGACAGACGTCTGGCCTGGTGCTATGCCTATACCAGCCCTCTGGCCAAGGCCCCGGGGCCGGGACCGTCCGTCTCCCTCGGGGCACGTGAAGGCAGGTTCCGAGGAGAGTGTGTCCTTTCTGAAGGATGGAGCCCAGCCCAGGAGCAGCCCGGAGGGGGAGGGCGTCAGCGCCCCCTTCTGGCAAGGTCCAGAACCCCATGAAGAAGACAGTACCCGCACAGGGGCCCAGCGCCCCCCTCACAGAGAACAGCTAAAGTACAATATATACGAGTGTGCACAGGGAGGCCCGTCACAGCACAGGATTAAAGAATCATGTGCTTTCACGCAATAGCATCCTACGCGGCTCTAACGGATAAAGAAAGTGGTCCTACGCTGACTGACATGAGAAAGTCATCCCAACGTCCTGAGTGAAAAGGCGCGTTGCCTTTCACCATCCCTTTGTTTTATCTACGTGTGATTATATAAACACACTCACGGAAACCTAAAACCACGTTCACCAAAACACTCATCATAGGCTTACGGGCCTTCTAAATAGTCTCTGCTCTCACTCACCGAGTTTGTGTCTTTACTGCGACTTAAAGTGAAAACACACAAGTGCCGTGTTTTTGTTTTGGTCGCCGTCTCGTGAAAACCACCTCAATCATCTCTCAGTCACTCCGTCCTCGGCTGGGAAGCTCCCTGGTTCAGACAAGCCCCCCGGGGGCAGGCTGCCCTGCCCCTTACTTTACTTCCCACGGAACCTGTCCCTCCGGGGCGATGCTTTCGCAGCGGTGGCGATGCTCACCGACTGCAGTCTGGTCCGAGTTGAATACCCGCATTCCCAAACAGGCTGCCCGCCCCCCAGAGGGGGGGTGCGGCCTCGCTAGGACCCGTGCTGCTCTCACCTGTAGCGATTCCGTCAAACAGAGACAGCACCCGGATAGGCTTCCTCTTCTCGGCCGGGACAGGTGGGTAAACCTTCGGAGGGTCCTAGGCAGGGAGCACAACAGGCCAGGTGAGCAGCCGGGCATGCCCTCCAGCCCCGCACGCCCTCCCGGCCCACGGTGGGCGCCATCGGTCGGCTCTCTGACCCCGCACAGCCAGCGCCCCGTGGCTCGGGCACCCCTTGCTCATCATCGCCCGGCCCCACGACCCACGGAGGCGGCATGGTGGGCCCGCCCTCCAGCCCCGGCGGTGGGGGTGGGCGCACGGGGTCCCGGAGCAGGCCCAGCCGGTGGCACTCACAAACTCCTGGTCGTGGTTGTTGGCGAAGAACATCTGCAGCCGCGAGGGCCAGTCGTCCCGCCTCCGCAGCAGCCCGTAGGTGCCCTTGTGCCCGCACATGTAGCAGTTCCAGGGGTCTTCTTTAATGGCGGCCTGGGCGGCGCCGGGCCCCACCAGGAGGTCCACGCACTCCACGCAGAAGCACCTGAGGAGGCCCAGGGTGGCGGTGGGACGCCCAGCCCCGGCCGGTCCCCGGTGGAGCAGGGCTGGGCGGGCGGGCGGGCGGGCGGTGGCGGGAGCCCAGGTGCCCACCCCGGAGGGCGGGCGGGCCCAGGCGGGGGCCCCTCACCTGCAGCAGTTGTTGTTCCCGCACATGAGCACCTCGCGCCCCCCGCAGCAGATGGTGCAGTAGGACTGGTAGCCGTCGTCGTCGTACTGGTACGCGCACTCGAGGAAGCAGTTCTGGAGAGCAGGGGGCCGTCAGGCCCTCCCTCCGCTAACCCGGGACCCCCGGCTCGGCCCTGGAGACACGCCCCTGCCACCCATCCGACCAGGGTCCGGCCTAAACCACAGAGCAGGGAGGGGCCGGCAGGTCCCCTGATCCCAGCCGCGGACAGCAGCCAGGAGGCCTGGGCAAGGGCTGGGGAGGGAGGAGCGAGGCACCCTTTGCCCCTAGCTCCTCCCCTGGGCTCTGAGGTGCAGCAACCCACTGGCCGGTCCGCTGTGTCCTCCCCTGGGGACTGAGAGGGATTGTACAGGGGTGGAACTTCCAGGAGGAAGAAGAATGGCAAGTCAAACACTTGAAGCCAAAGGTCTGTTTTATCTGAACTTGCTGCTTCCACTGCTAACATGAGGGGGTGGGGGGTGGTCAGAGGTCAGCAGGTGGCACCCTCGACAGCCCCACCTTGCAGTTTTGGCACATTCCTCCAATGAAGAGAGGGTGTTCCAGCGTGACGTTGAGGCTCCCACAAGAGATGCAGATGTCTGGGAAGCAGAGAAAGTCGAGTGAGCGGCACTCTGGGGGAGGAGGGGAGGCGCACTCCCCTTGCCTTCGACCAAAGCCCGTTCCAGAAAAGCTACAAAGAGCCGAAACCGGTTTGGCTCAGTGGATAGAGTGTTGGTCTGAGAACTGAAAGGTCCCAGGTTCGATTCCGGTCAAGGGCATGTACATTGGCTGTGGGCACATCCCCGGGGGGGGATGTGCAAGAGGCAGCTGGTCGATGTTTCTCTCTCATTGGCGTTTCTAGCTCTCTCTCTCTCTCTCCCTTCCTCCTCTCCGTGAAATATCAATAAAACATATTTTTTAAAAAAAAGCTACAAAGAGGGGATGTGCTGGAGCCGCCTCAGGCTACAGGGAGGGCCCTGTGGCCCCAATCTCAGAAGCCCTGTCCTCTCTGAGCATCGATGCCACCATCCAGGAGTGGCAATCTGACAGAGACAGGAACCCACCCAGGAGAACAGGGCCCTGCCGTCCCTGGGTCTGGAGGTGGTCCTTGGCAAGAGCCTTAAGTCCTGGGCCCCTGCCCCCATCCTCTCAGACCCCAGGCCTGAGGGCTCTGAGCTTGACACACCATCACTATGGAAAAAGGATTCCATAGGCCTGGCAGGCGGACCCTCCGCCCAGGCCCAGCATCGACAGGCTTGGGATGCTAATGGCCACTGGCTGAGAGAAGGTGATGAGAGATGTGAGGCCCAAGGGTGAGGTTCGGGCAAATTCAATCAAATACAAGAGGGGCTCCCCTCGGGAGTGTCACCGATCCCAATGCCAGCCGACACCATGGATAGGTCAGTCGGGGCAGCCGAAGGCAGATGTGTATGCGCTGCCGACCGGAGGTGGTGACACGGGCAGGCTGACCCCGTGACTGCGTGCTGATGTTCCACGCCGTTCACACCTTTCCCAGGAGCCATGCTCTGCCCCAGGCAGCCCCCTGCGAGCCGGCCCACCTGCCCGTCCCAGGGAGCCGGCGCCCGGTGCCCCGCTGGACTCACCCTCGATGTTCCGGCACTTCTGCCGCACCTCGTACACCAGCCGCTCTGCGGAGGGAGGGAGGGAGGCCCAGCATCAGAGGCGGCGAGGGGGCCTCCCCCACCTCCTCTGAGTGCCAGCCTCGCCACGCCACTCTCTCCACAGCCGGGCTAACTACCTCTTGTGCGTTCGTCGATAATCTCCTTGACCTTGGGCTTCTCGGTGGTGCTCTTCCGGGGCTTTTTGGCTGGTGGGGGCGGAGCGTAGGCAGCTGCCTCGGGTTCCACCCACATGTCTGTGTAAACTTCTTTGTAGGGGTTCTTCTCCTCTGGATGGCAGAAGCAGGGAAGAAGGTCACGGTGCCCAACCGACAAGGGAGTCCCAGCTCCCTCTCCTCCCCCGTTCCACCCGTTCATCACGGGGTGCAGCCTGGTCCCCGACGTGCTCCTTGCTCTCCACTCTCTGGAGCCAGCAGGCCAATGGGGAGCGAGTTATTCTGAGTCCCAGAGCAGGACAGTCCCTACCCGGCCCCAGGGGAGGGAGACCATGGCCCATGGACGGAGGCCTAGGCAGCCCGCCCTCAGCATGGCTTTCCCAGGCCTGGCTGGCAGGGGTCCAGGAGGCCAGGCTGGGCCCCCGCGTTACCTTCTGGTGGTTCCAGGCCCTTGGGGCCAGAGGGCTGGAACCCTCCCAGGGCCCATTCGATCATCTGCTTGTTCTGCACCTCCACGGCCTTGGCAGTGTCGCTCTCATCGCTGTCATGGCACGCTGGGAACAGCTTCCCGGCGCGGCTGCTGGCCACCTGGGGGGGGGTAACATGCAGGGGGGGTTAGAGGGAAAGGCCAGGGGGCAGACTCCCCGTAGCGAAGGTGGGAGAAGGTGCAAGGAAGGGGAGGACTGGAGGAGAACACGCCTGAAGAGTGTAGGAAGGAAGCGAGTGAGATGGGGAAAAAGGAGTCCGTAGGCCTGGCAGGCGGACCCTCTGCCCAGGCCCAGCATCGACATTTCGGCTTCTATGCCGCTGGCGGTCCGGACCCACGACAGGCACTCACCTGCAGCACTTCGTAGATGGCTTTGCGGTACATGGGCTGCTTGTTGTAGGTGGCCTGGTGGAAGGCGCTGCAGAAGGAGCTCAGCGGCATCAGCTTTTCCACGCACACCTGGGGGGACGACCACGGCCCTCGTTGTCCCTCCCACACTCACCAAGAAGCCCCACCCGGTGCCTAGCAACAGGCCAGGAGGCACCAGGAATGGCCGCCGTCCCTGAGAGGACCAGATGCCTCACTAAACAACTGCCTGATGCAAAGGACCTGAAGGCCAGTGGGAGGGATGCTGGGGAAAGGGTTCCCGGAAGGCAAACACTCGGCAGGCATCCCAGCTGTGAGGCACCAGTGCCGCCTCCTGGGCTTCCATGGCCACACACACAGCGCGGGGGCCAGCAGAGCCCGCTTCCACCACCCAACCCCACACCAGGCCCCCCGGCCAAAACTGAAGGCCTGGGGACCGAGACCCCATCCCCCCGCAGACTAACCGCCAAACCCCGAAACTCACCACCGAGAACTTGCCGTCTCCGAACCACATGACCCAGCGGGTGCCTTCCGCCGCTCGACTCCGGCCGGTCATCCACCAGGACACGATGCGGCCGGGCCACCAGGAGAAGCCCCGCAGCTTCCCCCACACCAGCTCCCCAATGCCAAAGCCCCGGCCGTCCTGGATCCCCGAGGAGCACAAGTCATTACACGGCAGTCACGAGGCCCTGCCTCCCTCAGTGCCCCCGGCCCCCACGGCCACCCCAGGCCTGGGCATCTGAGGGTCAGGACAGCCGGGAGGGAGCTCCATCCGAATGGACCGAAACGGAGCAAACACTGGGGGTGCGGAGAGGCCCCCAGGGATCAGGTGGGGAGAAGCCGGCAGTGGAAGGACCCGGGGCAAAGCTGGACGAGGCAGCGGACGAGGCAAGCCGCTCACCTCGTACTCCGGCTCGTCATCGGCCGCTTTGGTGGCGTTCTTGTCCCCCGTGTCGGCCCCCACGGGCTCAGGGGTGGTGGCCACGGTGGGGGACGCGGGGTCGGTAGGCTGCTGCACGGCGGGAGGGCTGGCCTCCTCCACCTTCTGAGACTCGCCGGAGCCCTGGTTTTCTTCCACGGCGTTCATCACGGCGATCACCTTGGCTTTCTTCTCAGCCTGGGGACACAGGAAGCGGGCGGTTACCGGGCCTCTCCAGGCATCGGCAAGGCCTCCTCACCCCGAGGGAGCTCCTCTCAGCCTCGTTCTGGCCTGGAGACCGTGGTGGGAGGCCAAGGGCTGGAGAGAATTCTCCCCTCATCCACTCAACTGGCCTGCCGTGGGAAACAGAGAGATGCGAACTTTGAGAGGCAAACTCCAACCATCTGGCTCAACTCCAGCCTTCTCCCCTGCCTCTTCGGAAATCCCCCTCCCTGGGCTGATCTCTCCCGGTCTATCACCATTATCACTCGCCCACCCTCTGACGTGGAAAGAAAGTTCATTCTATTCAGATACGAGACGTGCTCCTTCATTTAGGCTCCCTCCTCTCCCATCGTATTTCTAAGTCAGAACTGGGCTTCTCACCCTTTTCCCCACAAGTTCCCTGGGTAGCCAGGAAGATCTGGGTGGCTCCTAGACCACGACGCTGGTTCTGGGGTCAGGTCTGCTACGAGGAAAATCACTGCTGTGTTTCCTTCCCCACCTGCTGAGCACCATGAGAAGCCCCATTCGAGCTTGTCTGCTTCCACGCTGGAGTTCTTAGGATTAAATCCACTGCACATTCTGTTACCAGATTCACCCCTCCCTTCGCTGTGCCCCTTTCAGACCCATATAGAAATACACTTATTCTTCCAACACTTACTTCCTGAGCACAGGTCTCTCTGCCATCCCACCAACAAACTCAACCAAACCCAATCCCTGTCCCCGTTGGACAGCCTCCATCCTCTCGTCATTTCAAACTTCACTGTTCAGACGCTGCCCCGTTCCTTCTCACAACCTGCTCCAGGCTTCCCTCCACCCTACAGAGGACCATGGGATCCTTGAGACACGCTCTGAGGGCTGGCCAACCTCATCTCACCCCAGCGACCGAATCTACAACATGCGGCCCTCACACGCAAGGCTCCGCACCCATTTCCGCCACACCAGATCCAGAGAAAGGAAATCCCATCCGTATGCCTTTCCCTAGGAAGCTCCTCCCCAGAGCTTATGAAAAAGGGAAAAACCTCAGGAAGCAACACGGAGTCCCAGAGCCCTAAGCTGGAAGGCAGAGCATAGACCTCTCTTTCTTAGCCTCCACCTCACTCACAGCTGACTCTGAAGCAGCCCCTTCTCTTCTGAGCCGCTCCAGCCGAAAAAGGCGCTAAATGGAAGGGTTTCGGTTACCCTTTTCTGACTATCAAGAATTCCAGCCGGGACCGGTTTGGCTCAATGGATAGAGCCTCGGCTTGGGGACTGAAGGGTCCCGGGTTCGATTCCGGTCAAGGGCATGTACCTTGGTTGCGGGCACATCCCCAGTAGGGGGTGTGCAAGAGGCAGCTGATCGATGACTCTCTCTCGTCGATGTTTCTAACTCTCTATCTCTCTCCCTTCCTCTCTGTACAAAATCAATAAAATATATTAAAAAAAAAAAAAAAAAGAATTCCAGGGGTGCGCCAAAGCCCGATAATGAGCCCCCCAGATCCCGGGGTTCCAGGTTAAGAACCTTGGGTCTTAAAGGCAATGGTCTATGCTTGGCGGTTCGTTTCATTCAATCTTCAAGTCTCCGTTTCCAGGCCGATCGGCTTCCTGTAACGACTCCTAAAACACCAACGGTGGAAGTCCTAGTTCTTTCTCTGACTCAACAAACTCTAAAACGGGATCATTTATCCTTTGCCCCCAGCCCACAAACAGCTGGGAGAACGAGGCGGGAGAATGCCAGTCATTGCTCATACCATCCTAGCCCCGCTCCCACCTGGCACCTGGCGGAACTCGGCCCCTCCTTCCTACTACCAATTACCCACACCGCCTCCCCACAAGGTGTGACTAGGTAGGCACTCAGCCCCAGGGGGGAGGAGGACTCTCCTCTAGAAGCGTCAGCTGGGGCTGCCTACCCCGGAACCAGACCCCTTCGGATGAGCAACAGGGCGATAGCTGTTTCTGCTCCCTTCCCTCTTCCTCCTCCAGCTTCAGTCACGTTGGCTGATCTAGACCAGGGTGCCACCCTGGACGACCCAGAGACCCCGTGCATGGGGGTGACAAGGCCCCTCGGCCAGAACAAGGTGTGTAGGTCGCAGAGGGCAGGAGGGAGGGAGGGAGGGAGAGAGGGGCCTTCTGAGGGAAGGAGCTGAAGTCACTTCCACAGCGAGCACCAAGGGGGTGGGGGAGTGAGGGGGCAGGCGCTGGGCTCCCCAGTCTAGTCTCGAGGTGAGTAGAGAAAGGGTGAGTAGAGTCGTGCCTGACACCACCCTTCGTCCTCCCCCACAGCCCCTTTGTCTCTCTTCTCCATCCCTCCACAGTCGGTTCCTGAACACGCTTCTTCCCCCACAACTTCCCCCGGCGTGTCAGATGCCGCTGCTGACGCCTAGGAAGCGCCCCCAGCCCACTAGGTGCAAGAGAACATGCACCCCTCGCAGTTTCTTGGCAGGCGGAGGAGGAGGAAGGGGGCCTCCATCGTGGCACCGCCGGCTGGGGCAGGGGAAGGAAGAAGGGGTGGGTTCGCAGCAGGAGGCGAGAGAAAAGGGGAAGAAGGGGCCCGGACGGTGGCTGGGTGGGGGAGGGGCCTCACTAGAGGAGTCTGCCCAAGGTAGTGAGGGAATGAATGCCTGTTTTCCCACGTTCACTCAAACCCATCTCCCCCGGGCAAACAATAGGAGAAAGAAGGGTTAACTCAACCTTGGCATTGGGGCTAAAGGCTCCTGCCCTCAGCTCAGAAGACCCCACTCCAGGTGGCCTAGAGATTGGGCATGATCAGAGAGACACTACACTCTCCCACCCCCACCACCACCACCACCACCACCACCACCACCACCAATGTGGCTCAAGGAAGCCACTTTGCCTGGAGTTTTGTCCAGCCTGGAAAGCCACTGCTAACTCCACTCTGGGGGAGCCGGGCCTCCTCCGGATCCAGATCTCTCTCCTCCGGCAGCTGTCCCACTTCCACCCCCCTCCGGGTTGCTGCTTCCTGTTCCAAAGGTCAGAGGTCTGGGCGCCCATGCGGACACCCTGCTGCTGCTGCTGCTGCTGGTGCAGCAGACCCTGGGCTGTCCCAGGAGCCTCGCGGGCCCGAGTCAGGCTGATCCCCGGGTCCAGGCTGCACCGCTCCCTCCATCCCAGCACCACTTCTCCCTGGCAGCCTGCCCGGCGGCTCCCAGGGACACGCAGGAGAGGAAACTATCCCTTCTCAAGAGGCTGCGAGGTTGGCAAGGCCGGAGGACAGCACGGCCCACCGGCCAGGAGCACACAGGTCAGCAAGGCAATGCCAGCAACCCATCTGCCAGCCGGCTCAGCAGCTGCGTGGCTCCCAGCCCGACCCCTAGGCTCCCTGCGCCTCGGGCGGCCAGGGCCTGCTCCCGGGCAATCACAGCCGCTGCCCCCGGCTCTTCCCGGCCCCTGAGCCCCAGCCAGGTCCCCCGTTTGCAGCGAGGAGCGGGGCTGGGGCTCCGGAGGAGGGAGTGGGTGGGACGCAGGAACTTAGCATCTCAGCACGCGGGCCAGGCAGGGGAGCCAGCCAGCTCGCGCGGGCCAGGGACGCAGCACACTTGACTCTGCCCAGCCCAGCCTGCAGCGGGGCCCGGGATCCTCCCCCCCGGCCGCCCGCCCCCGGCCTCCGTCCAGGAACCTACCCATAGGGCCAGGTGCAGCCCCTCCGCGGTCCGGCTCAGGTGTGAGCCCCGGCCCGCAGCTCCGTAAGTAGCCGCCCGCCCGGGGGGAGGGGAGGGGGCGCTGGGGCCGGGGCGGAGGGGGCCGGAGGGAGGGGGAGGGGGCAGGTGGGGGGGAGGGAGGGCTCGAACATTTTCTTTGTCTACAACTCCGGGTCACGTGGGCCCCGCTGGAGTGCTTGGTTGGCTGCGAGCGGGCCGGGGGAGGGGGCCGGCCCTGCGACGCTGGCGGCGGGCCAGCCCCTCTGCTCCCGGCCGGGGGCCGCGGGGGCCCGGGGCGCGGCGGGGCCTCGGCGGGTTCCCAGGGCCGGCCCAGCCGGTGGAGGCGGGCCCGCCCCTTCCTCCCGCGGCCCGCCCCGCCCCCGCCCCCCAACTCCGCGGGAGCTCCGATCGCGGCTGGGGGGGCCGGGGGGGGGGGGCGGAGGCGGGGAGCCCCCGGGCAGCGCTGCAAGGGGAGGAGGGCAGCCGGGGGGTCAGGTGGGAGCGCAGGGGAGAGGAGGGAGGGGGTTCCGGACCGTCTGAGAACCAGGAGAAAGTTGTTAAAAGTGAGTCTCAGAAGCACAGCAACAAAAAAAAAAAAAAGGAAGGGAAAGGAAAAAAAAAAAAAAAAAAGCTTACAGATGAGCGAAGCAGCCCAAGAAGTTGTAGGGAAACTCCGGGCGCACAGAGGTGGACGGAAGGCGCCTGCACGGGACGTGACGGGGTGGGGTGGGGTGAGGGCTCCCCTCACACTGCAGGTGGATGGAGGGGGGCGCCCTAAACAGCTGACAGCAATGCAGGCTTTGAAAGCCTCTTCCTGGCCAAGGCACTGTGACTCCTAGGTCACTCTGTGCGTTTGAATTCCTCCCTTTCTTGTTTGCAAGGTGGGGGGGGGGGGGTGCTGGTTCAAAAGTAGAATAGTACCACCACCACCCCCACCCCCACCCCCGTTATGGGAGTTGCGGAACTTTGTCCAAGAGGAAACCTCCACCCCCCACCCCCATTGGTGCCTGAAACCTTGGATAGTACCCAACTATGTATACTGGTTTTTTCCTATACGCACATGCCCACGATGAAGTTATAAATTAGGCCCAGTAAGGCATTAACAACTAATAAAATAGAGTAATTATAGCAACAGACTTGTGAATGATCACTGCAAAGATACTGGCCCGGCCGACGTGGCTCAGTGGTTGAGCTTTGACCTATGAAGGAGGTCATGGTTCCATTCCCCATCAAGTGCCCGGGTTGAGGGCTTGATCCCCAATAGGGGACATGCAGGAGGCAGCCAATCAGTGATTTACTCTCATTATTGATGTTTCTCTCTCTCTCTCTCTGAAATCAATA